ATCATTAGTTTTGTTCTTTGAATGCATCTTTCAAAATGAGGCAACAATCGTGAGGCACCAGATGTTTGGTCTCTTACTTACATTTCATATAATTTCCAATGCTTTAAATATGTACCAACGATCGATAACCTGGAATGTTTTCTTTAAAAATAACTCTAGGTAGTTGTATGTGTGTACGTATATCACGTTAAATTAGTCGTAAAACGGCCATAACTTTGAATTATTGCGATATTAGCTTTATAAATTGAAATATGCAGATCCAAAAAAAACTTTTTGAAATTACGCAATGAAGCTGAAACATTAAGCAAAAATGATCCATTATTTTTCATTTATTAAATTGATATTTTTTAACATATGAGCAGAAAATAGAAAAACAATTTTAGTAGTATAATCTTGAAAAGAACATACAAAATTATAAACAGGCACATTTTTACAATCTTGATTCAGACACAAATGGTTGAAATGAAACTTTTTTAATATCCACCGTACAGAGAAAAGTAAACAAGAAGATGAAAGGATTCCGCAAAAGAGTGGATAACGTACTACATTATCTTGTCGGAATCTCTCCGCGCATCCATTTTGAAGTTCTTCTTCCCACTCTTTTGCGGGTAAGAAAATTCGGAGCAACGCCTGCAGCAGCTAAGAGCAAGGAAGGCGTGGTGGCTGGCGTTTAAAGCGCGGGTACCTTCTGACAAGGCACTTATTTCGGAAATAAATGGCGCCACACGCCGAGCAAAAAAAAAAGTGCGACGGCTGCTGGAGCGTTTCCATGTTCAGCCCATAAATCTATTCATGAAGTGATTAACGCCGTTTTTCTGCCTGGCTTCGCCACTCCGTGGGGGCCCGCAGAATCGGCTACCTTCACGCGATTGATGTTTTCAGCTTCGGTGCACGAGGAAACGTCGTTAAAGAGAGCGCGCGGATAGACTGCAGTTGTTTTAGAGAGCGACTGCATTGCGTGAAACCAGAGAGCATACACTACACACAAAACGCAAAGAAAGCCATTGAAGATCGAAGCATGTGCGGGCTAGGGCGGTTCCTGGCTGGGGAGAAACCTGGATGAGGGAAACCCGCAAGCCACCGGGTAGGTCGACGCCGGATCTTCTAATCCTCACCCGCGAGATAAAAACATGCACTACACGTACGGGAATAATTTTCTAAACGGTTGACGCACCAGGAATCAACAATCAATCAACCTATACTTACGATTTACACAGGAGTTGTTAACGCTCCTGAGAGCCTGAAATCAATATTCACCTGCTCAATCCTCCCCTGCCTCCCATTCGAGTGCCGGAGACATGTTAATATTTATTTTCCCGCTAGAATATAGACAACCGTTTATTGCATCAGTCCAGAGAGGGGCTTCGGATTTTCAGATTTCAGGATAAAGGTTTGAGTCTGAGCCTTCTTGAATGTTTGTGCACTGGTTCCGCACACAAGTATGTTAAACCTGAGACGATTACAGCTGTTTCTTTATCTCCAATCCCGGTAATGTTTTGAAACTTGAAATACCTCTTTGAATTTTGTTGTAAATTAATGTGGCAGCATTATAGAACCGCGGCTGAACGTGAGCATGCATTCCAATATTGGGAAGCGTTGAGGTGAAATTTAATGAGAAATAAACTAGTCACTTCAATTTTATCGATGATTATTGCTTCTATCTCAAAAAATTCAATTTGTTTTTACGTAGAGTTCAAGTTACCGCTCTTTCTGACTATCCGTGCTACGCAGTAGGGATTCCAGGAGGAGCTAAATTGCAATAAGCGGAAGAAAGTTCCAACAAGGTATTTTTATAGAATACACAATATTTTTTTTAGAGAATCAACTCCAACTGCACCCCCCCTCTCTCGTCCCCCTCTCATTCCATTCATCGTGTGTACCAATTAAATCAATGTGAACCCACAAATCTTGTGTCCATTTATATTCTGTTACTAAAGTGTAGTAAAATGTTTAATTTCATCCACGCTTGTATAGATACATCTTAGTGTAATTTTAAATGATTTATCATCCCACCCTCTTTTTCATACTTTTGTGATGAGGTTAATTTCCTTTTTTAAATTATACATTAATGAGGTCTCCATTATACGTCTATCAACAATCTATTTCTCCTTAACTGAATGTTTTAATCCTACGTACGTATTTGTATCAGCAAACTGATGATAATCGTTCAGTCATCAAAAGCTGTTATTTCAGTAAACAACACTATTGACAAAGAAAATGCATCAATTTCGTTTAATGAGAACGGTAATTTATTAAAGTTAGCAAATTATTGCTATACCAATGTTCATTTAGAGACCTGAAAATTTAAATTTTAGAGTCTATAACTCACGGTTGTCACGAGCGACTGTAGTGTGTGTTGCACTAATTTGTTTCTATTTCACAATCTCAAAACTATTTTATCGTTTTAAGTACAACTGATAAAAGAGGTACAAACGATTTAGAATGGTTATTCTTTTTTCACAATGGTGGTGGCGCCAATGTGAAGTTGGCACCACCACCATCACTAAAAGCGTTGTATTTTGTGAGTGATTGTGGTACAAACAAATGTTATTGTGGAACAAATGAATAAAAAAGAGGTACAAACGAATGGTAATCATTTCAGAGGCTTTCGCTGTGGTGACGGTGACAACTTCATAGTCATCTGAGAAGTACATTCAAACATCATTTAAACAAAACCTGTAAGACCGATAGGGCTGGTTGAAATTTTTAAAAAGAAGCATCGGTTCCACGAACATGTCCCTCGCGTGCTCCCTCGTGTCGGCGAGCGCTACCTTCGGACGGGCCTAATTTATGAGATTAATTATTATATCGCATCACACTCCGCTGTTTCAATTTTATCACAACTGACATAAACGTTACAGTTGATTTCCCTTCTCGCTATCATCCAAGTTGCAAGTTTCACGACGCGATAAACTACTCGAAACATCGTACTGAACCACCTAAAGTTACAGCTCGCGCATGCGCACAGGCGCCCAAAGTAGGGCCTAAACTTTTATTTTGATTCACGTTGTGCAAAATCTAATGACCTTGCATACTTCAAATATTTTCAGTATTTTTCAAAATATCGAGAAATATATATTGTCGTTATTGCGGTATATCCTATACAATTTATCAATAGATCAAAATATCTAATTTTATTCGATTACGCTTCGAAACGGTGAAAAAAATTTTAGATTGAAAATGTTGAATTAACGGTAAATTCTGGAAAACTAGGTCGTAACTTCAACCAGTCGTGCACCTGATTTAATGACATTCAGGTTCAATATTTAGGTAGGCTACTAGGGATTCACGTTCATGAAATGAATGAGTAATGCAAGACATAAATATTATAGAATTATTATGGGTATTAAAATTTTGATAACTTTAAAAGAAATTAATATTTTCGGGTTTCTGAAAGGACTATGTGTTGTTGCTAGCAGTTAACGACTTAGCCACACCCACGATGCATTTCACTGCACGGGGGAGCCGTTAAAGAAGATGTGCGGATAGACCAAGTTAATATCTTTGTCCATGCGCGTGGAAACGGTGGTGCACACGTGAAATGGTGACCCAGATGTCAATCTTGCTAACGTAAACTCAATTTTACGGAATTAAATGCCTCTATACATTTATTTACAATGCTTTTTAAATGCATTGGAGATTTTCGTACAAAAACGTCAGGTTTAAAATACCACGAATTTTTACTTCAATATTAAAAGTTAATTTATAAATCTTATCGCGTTTACACTTAGGTTTACATTTATAGTTTTGTAATGCGTAAGGAGTGAATAAGTAATCAATCAACAATTGAAACTCGTACACTAGGATAAAAAAAATATTCCGGTTATTGAAATTGATTTTTGTGAATATCAATTATGTGCTGCAATCTTTATTCCAAATATTACAAATGTAGAATGTTTAATGGTCATTGAGACTTTTGACAAAGTAATGTAATGGTAGAGAAATATAGAAACGACGACTAATTAGGACTTACTAGTTTGGAACGACGAAATTGTAAAATACATCGTTTCCCTTTTAATTACATTTCCTCTGGAAATATTCAATTATGTTATTCGACTGTTGTCATGTCTCGGAGTACTGAGATCTTAGCAATTAATATTGATAAACGTGAATCTCAAGCATTTACATAGGTTATGTGTGTGTATAAATATATTTATCAACGAAAAATGTGGTACATTCAGTACAATATTAATTTCATTTGTAAGATATATTATGATTTACGTATTTGACATATCTTAATTATTTTGGTTATTGCGAATATATGATACATATTCTCGAATATTTGCTATCTTTTACAAAGGAAGCCGGTGAATCGTTTTGAAGAAATTAAAAGTTCTTTTCTAATTTTTGTTTAAACTTTTAAGCTAATAATAGATCTGGTTTTCTTTATATTACAAAATATAACAAAAAATAATTACTATTTATGTACCCACATACGTTCAAGCTTTTGCCTAACCTAAGGGTTCTGAAATCACCTTGTTTTATGAATGACAGAGATGTAGTAAAGATGTGAAGTAATTTCGATGAAAGAAGGAAAAAATAAATTTCGAAATTAATTTTTTTGAGTTCTTTGTGCAAATATCTCGTAGTGTCAAAGTATTATTGCTGAGGGAACTAAACTAAATAGGATTTGAGATTTTGAAGCAAACGACATTTCTACAAATACAATTTTCATTAAAAAGAAGGGTAAAAAACAATAAAACTAGTAAATTTTACCAGTGGTGTAAATTAAACAAAATTGAGTTTTGCCCAGATTCGAGAAAGAATGCTCAGCGATAATTATATCTCTGCCTATAGCTTTGGTTTTGCATTTGAATTTATTACTGTTTGTTGGAGGATCTTACAAGAGAAAGGATAATAAAATTCGTATTTTGTTCGTTGTATTGTATTCGTATGTTGTTGTAAACAGTAGGCAACATACATTTTCTAAAAATCTTCTTAAAGATGATAGCATATAATTAGTAAGATGCGGTGGAACATGACGGCGGAGGATGTAAAAGACTTCATTATTAAATTCCGTTAGTAATAAAAGTGAATAATCTAATAATTTGGTCTCGAGTTGGTATAAACTCGATACTTGATACAGCATTTGCCTCATTTCATATATTATGGCCACAGTAATAAAATACTATAGGGTTATATTCGCCTGTGCTCTGCGTGAACATATTACATCCATTCGAGTTACTTCACCGGTATTTACAGTCCTCAGTCTCAAACAATACTACTCCTCCCGTATTTGATATGCAAATACAAACAATCTCTCTCATTCGTTTCCAGAGTTCATGTCAAACACTCGGATACTTGATTTCAAGTTACCAACTTACACATAGTGCAATCCCGACCAAATGTCCCAAGTGCCAGAATGTACACACACGTATGTTACAGAAATAAGACGCCAGAATTGTGGCAAAGTCTGTTTCCGAGGCGCATGCGCCACAAGATGTCCATTGGCATGCCGGCACAAGCACCAGCAAGGGCGAAACTGCCACGTTGCCCATGACACACTGCACATGAATTTGTTGAGCAAGAAGAAATCTCTCAACTCTGATGCAATAACACGAACTATACCTGAAAATTCATAGAAAAGTTTTACTCAATTAAAATTAGTTCCATTTATTATAAAAACGTATTTCACTCTAATTTAGAAAGATATTTCTCTCCCGTAATTCACTTTATAAGATACACAACAAATATTCAAAATGCTAACATTAACGTATCATTCGGAAAAGTAAGCAGCTCTTTTTGTAACTTGCCGATTTCGCTAACGTAATTGATTACACAAGATAATTGAAAACGAGTTAAGTTTTTTTATTTAAAACATTAAAGTCTGTTTGAATCTACTATCATTAACTATTTAAGAAAATATTTGGTTATTTTTACAAACAGATAAGTGTTACGACAGTGACATGCTACATGCAAAAATTGTTAGTTTCTTCAAATGAGCTTGCATAAAAACGCAGAATTTTGTGATAAAACATATTACACACACACGCCGAAACGTTGGTAATAGGATAGAAAAAAGTTAAGCACAAATTACGGGAAGAGTAAATATCTTAGAAGAAAAGTGATGGAGGAAACCAAGAATGACAGTAACAATACTGAAAGGAGACAACTCGACTTGTCAACTAAACGTTATTTACTCATTGTATTTTTTGTTCAAAAGTGACAGAATAAAGCAAAAGCCTACTCTGAATATTAATATTATGGTAAATATCCAACTTTCTCTGACTGCCACTATTGAACAAGAAAATACATTACCTTTTTCAGCCATGAACAGAATTTTTTAAATCATGGAGAAATACGGACAGTTATATATTTACTCCCTACGATGTCAAAAGGTTAACAATGGAATAACTATTTAATAGGACTACCACAACGAAAAGCTCCTGTATTTGTGCAAAGTTCCCAATCTGATTGGTTGTGGTGCAACTCTGACCTCATATATAAGTATTTATTACACACTACTGAATGCATTTTGACAAAGCTTTCCCTTACCCGTACAGTGCATCATGCAAACATCAGATTTTTGCAACTATTACTCGTCGAGAGCGACTTCTTCGTTATCAATTAAATCTTGATTTTCGGGAGAGCAAATCCCAATAAACTTCTAGGTTAAATGGAAATGAACATTTATCTTCTTAGATTTATCTTTGATGAAAGTACCGAGTCACTTCTACGGACTCTGTTGCAAAACATCACGAGACAAACTGGGTTGGTAAGGTCTTAGAGCGACTTTCAAATGCGAAGTGTTGAAGCAAGTGGATCTCGTGAAATACATAAGTTCAAAGCTGTCTAGGGTGCTCAGATTCTATCAAGTATCACCCACTGACATATGAACATATTATATTCTTGGGAACATCCGAGGTAGGTGCGGTAGAATTTCATGAGAGTAAGGAGAGGAATATTTCCTTCACCGCGGTAGTACATAATGAATCCAAGGCTATTATCTGCCTTCACACGGCATCTCCTGCAAAAAGGAAAATCCCATTTCTTGTCTTTGGATAAGCTTCAGAATCTCCCATTTAGGCGCTTAAAATAGGCTTGATCTATAGGCGAAAATGGTCGTTATTGTAGTGATCGCTCGCGCCCATTTGAAAGAACCGGCACCGAGACACAGCAGTGAGGTGTCGGCGCCCCCCCTGGAAACTACGGGCATTGCTCCCACGAGTTTGCTGAGGACGGGTTCAGAGGAGCCGTCTCGCTTTGGTCGTCGCGACCGAGCGCGCCATCAGCTGTACGGCGGGCCAGTGGGCGAGCCTTCAGCCCTGACCGGGTATAAAACGCAGCGAGCAGTGAGCGGAATTCCATCGACCCATCATAGTGCGAGCTACGAGTGAGCTAGTTAGTGAGTGACTAGAACGCACTTCTCTTTTGGTATTTGGACCGTGACCACGGCACTCTTGTTGGACATCTCTTCGGCTTTTGTTAAATCTGGCAAGTCCCCGGTAAATCTCCAGGTTATTTTGTGACTACGTATGTTAACGGCTTTCTCTGTGCGTTCGTCAATAGTGAATAAAAAATTTGTTTAATTAAATTCACTTGTTTTCGTCAGTTATAATAACAGTTATAATGTCTGAAATAGATAGTATAAATTGAGATGAAAATGACATTTCATTAAAATTTTATTGTATTTCATAATTACATTACAGATTTGTATTAAAGTGAAGTATTTAACCAATGGTTCTAGAACAGCTTATATTTTCAGGAAAAACTTCTATCATTTGCAATTATCGAACGTTCAGAGATTCCAGCAAAAAGGGAGCCTACTTCATTTTTTAATCGCCCTTTGCACTCTCTGAGCGGCAAAAATGACCAAAATATTTGGAGCCAATTAAAAAATTAAAATATTAAGACTTTATGTCCATTTCAAGTTTACAGGGCCTCGAGTTCGTCCAGATCGATGGGAGAATGCCACATTTTGAGAAAATTGTGTGAAATATTTATGAGGGGCAGGGGCGGATCCAGCCGGTCATTTCGTGGGGAGGGGCATCGTAGATTTGTGTTAAATAAACATATTCGTTGTTTAATTGTATATTATGTATGTACTATAGCTATGATACAATACAATATTATTGTTTCAATAATTACATAAACCGAACACATAAATATTTGAATCAATTTGACGTGGAGACGAACAGTCTGGCAAACAGAGAGATGGACTGACGGACAGACAGATGTTTTGCCATCAACAATTTTTACTTTCTCTTATACGTACACATATATGTATAGAGAAAGTTACGTAATGCTGCGGAAAATCGATTTCAATATTTCAGCAGAAAAATACGTTTTGGGGTCCCCCTCATACCGAAAAAAGTGTTTTTTTAAAACGTCTCAATCAAGTATATGTGAACAATACTAGAACCTAAATCATGCGTACGTTATTACTCCAAATTGGAAGAAACCTCTGTATATTTAGCCTGAGTCGAATCTCTGCCATTTTCAAGTTCGATTTTGAAGCATTCATTAGTTTTAGGGGTCACTTTACATAAAGCCGCTGGGAGAATTTGAAAACGTTCTCAAAAATAGTTCCAAATTTTTCCTCAAAACTTCTTCTAAGAATAGCATTAATGGAGATGGCATAGGTCAGATTTTTTGAAAATTTTCATAGGTTTTACAGAACATTGCGTGCATTTGAGCAATTTAAAAAAATACAAAAATAGGATTTTCTCAAAAACGCCTACAAAGTTTTTCTTTAAACTTTGGATAGGGATGTTGCTAAAGGTACTCTATGATATGACATAAACTCAATATTGCACTATTCTATTGTTTTTACAAAATTTACAAAATGTAGTTTTTTGACTTGTCTTATGTCGTTAATATTCACCAACCCGGCAATTTGACCTCATTATTACATTTATGAGTACATGTGCTTTAAACAATGTCAAATAAAGCCTCCTGAAAACTCAGTGCTTTTCGGCCAAAACAAGCTGCAAATTTCGCAATTTCAGAAACGATCAAACGTCATTTTGTTCAAAATGGCTCCAAATGTTTTCTTCAGACTTTTCGCAAGGATAGTGCAAATTGCACTCTTTAATATGAGATAAGTTTATTTCGTAATATTTTTGTGTTTTTGAAAAATTACACAAATGTATTTTATGAAAGATTTCTCACGGTGGTAATATGTATATTTCCAGCTATTTGTAAACACTACAGTATTAATGAGTTAATGTGCTTCAAATGACTTCAAATGGATTTTATGGAAAAATCAAAAAGTTTCTGTGAAAAAGAACTTCAAATTTCGAATTTACTGTTGCGTCATTTTCTTAGAATACCGCTCTAAATTTTTCAATTAAAATTGCCATTTTGGACGACGTTTTACTGTTCTTTATTAAATTCTTGGCTATCCAGGAGAAGTCACATCGTTGGCTGAGAGGCCGACGTTTCACCTGACATGTCGCAGGCTTCCTCAGGGCAGTGACGAAGTCGCACTCGTACTAATACCGGAAAGTCTGTGCCATTCTGGGGCACAACTAGTTTCGATGTCAAGGACTGACAAAACGTGCATTTTTACTACATAACATGTTATAACAAATAATTTATTAAATGTAGGAACAAGGTTTATCCACCTTTCTATATAACGTCCCTACAATTTGAGTTTTTCTGACAAATAATCGCCATTGTTTGCTGCACCATTACAATATGCTGAGAAGATAAAAATATGACATATGTGATTTTCTCTTGGTTGGCTTCTTCCACGTATCCCATCTTAATATCAAACCATCTATAATCGTTTATCTATGAACATCATTCACCTATAAATATCACAATATCTTCTTATCATCTTTCGTACGTATCCTGAAAGGCAAAAGAAAATCACCACTGTGGACACCTGCCCAGAAATTGGTTGTAAAAGCGCAAGATTCCTTCTACGCTAACACTAAAAATGATTCACTCATCCCTCGTCGTGCTAGTAGTCAGCCTCACCTTCGTTCTCAATCAAATCAAGAACTGTTGAGGAGCGAACTCTATTAAACTCGCCGATGAAATGGATATGAACATTTATTTTGATGGATCTCTGTCAATAATACACATCATTCTTACGCGTACAGCCGCTCTTTCAGAATAATGAGCGAAAATGTTCATTTATTTCCTCCTCAGAGCGTCGAGATTTATTATTTCACCCTACTCAATTGAGTTTTAAATCAAAATGTTGATTGGGGCGGTGTAATCGGAGGATATGTAGCAAGAATAATTGCAGTGACATCCATGGCTAATATCAATTGGCACATAGACCCAAAGTAACGATGCGCCAATTCGTCATTGCCCTTGATAACGCAATTGATATTCACAAGAATGCCCGGCATTTTCGCTGGCGTTTTGACAAATTGTTAAATGATTTGTACAATCGTTTACGTTGCTTTACGTTTTTCGTTATTGCGCGCTTCATTTGTTTCGCTGAAACAGCATTGTGTGCAACACGAGTGTGTATGGATCATAGTGGTATGATTAGTGAATATATGTACTCATAAACTTACTCGATTTATTATTAACGAAAGGTAAGAGAGAAAACAAGAACTTCAATATGTATCTTAGTCTAATGTAACTTTCATATCGAATATATAAAAATC